GCCTACGAATCAAGGAACATCAAAAACTGCAGGAACATAGATATGAAAAGATCAGAAATAGCGGAACATATTGCATAAACGATGCATGAAATCGACCGAAAAGTTGGTTGCATATGGTGAAAATACGAGAAAACTCAAGATCAGAAAGGCCATCGATATACTGACCGAGATAAATCTAATGAACAGGAGACTCTAAGAAGGCAGGATCAGCGAAAACTTTGCATATGGTCTAAACAAACTCAGAGAAAATCAGGCATAAGAAAGATCAGCAAAAACAAGACGATAGGGTAAAGGTAATATCCTATAATTTTAGGAAAAGAGATCGAAGGGGGACGAGAAAGGAAAATCAGAAGCAGATAGAAGACGACTTCAGTAAGCCAAATCAAAACAAATAGAGCCAAGACAATTGTGGGTTGGCACACAAAAGACTAGGACATAGGAAGTGATAGACATGGTATTAGAGATAGGAATAAAAAAGATGCAGGGGAGACTAAAGCTATTTTGCTGACAATATACGTGTTTAATCATAGACTTGATCCTAGAATCACGACTATTCTTAACCAAGTAGCTCTAGTTTCCACTGATTCTATCCTTTTTCTATCTATAATACCAAGTCTATGACTTCCATGCCCTAGTCTCTTGTGTGCCAACCAACAAACGTTGTGTTACAACACTGAACTTAATCAAAGCAAGCAGTTTCACAACATTTGTGGGTTAGCAAACAAGAGACGAATGCATAGCAAGTCCTAGACTTGGTATTATGGATAGAGACAAGATAAACACGGCAAAGACTGGATCTAGTTGGCTGACAATAGTTCTGACGTACCATAGACGTGGTCCATGTAGCAAAGGCTTGAGGAAGAGAGTTACTCAAAGGCGAATAACGTCTCGAGTGGCACAGATGAGGTGGCAGAGGTCGAGTGAAATGCATGAACCAGAGCGATAGCAGACGGATTCTACGGGGCAAGAGTGAGACTGTGATTAGACATAGGGAAGAAGGACGGCCTAACAATATGGCA